TCTATAACCAGCTTTTGTCTACTAGGGAGAGTGGTACGAGCATCGTCCCCTACTTGTAGGCCCTACTGTTGGCTGCCCCAGTCTATTGGTGGGCGGCCGTACCTGCTGGATATCGGGTCCAGTGTCCCAGTGATACTATAGTGTGTACATAATCCGAATACCTGCAAGTTGGTAGTGGATGACGAGATATGAAAAAAATGGATATTGAAAGTGATTAGTGATCCTTTATTATAAGTGCCATCGCCAGCATGGAGTGACTGGCAACAGCACTCTGCAGATGTGACAATTTTGTCACTTTTTTAACCTTTTTCGATTGCTTTTTTTTTTTTTTTTTTTTTTTTTTTTTTTGGGTTAACCTCGTTGTATCGTACGTTTTTGTCAACCGCTCACCAAATCGTATTTTGAATCCTTTTCTGAAAGCATAGTCGGTCTCGGTCTTATGGTGTTATCTGAATTCTGAAAGCAATAGTCAGACATCTGCTTCTGTGACTGCGGCAGGATATGCCCTACGATGGACATAGCTCCCTTTTCAGGCACTGCCTGGCATCGCTGCATATTGATCCATCTCAAGCCCGACTTGTTCTGACGTCAGTGCCGGGAGGTTCAGAATGTTGATTCATTTCCTCATTTAGCACAGAAACCAGGGGTGTAGGTGCGTAATTTTTTTGGATGGAGTGCTTAATGTGCATGGCAGTCCATGTCAAGATTGTTTGTGTGGGTTTAGAACGGATGAACCATGGGGGTGCGTTTAGAATGGGTGAACGAACCATGGGTGTCGGTTTAGAACGGCCGAACCATGGGGGTGGTTATTGAAAGGTCGTGTCGTTTTTGACTGCAATTCGCTTATTGAGGCTTTGCAGCTCTTGCTGCAGCACCACTGTCGATTTGATTCTCCTTTTCTGTTCCTTTTTCTTTCAAATCTTTTTGTTCTTTTTTTTTTTGGGGGGGGGGGTTGCCTGGATTTGAGTCCAGGTCTGTCTTTTGACTGTTCATGGGTGTACCAACTGAGCTATTGCTTCTTTTTTTTTTTTTTTTTTTTTTTTTTTTGAGAAGGCATGCTCCAAGCTATTCGTGGGGAGTTGCTAATTTGGTTTGATTCTAAAATACAGGGGCGGTTAACAGTTGTCAGATTCTGAAAAAAAAAAAAAACAGTTAGGGGGTACTCACACACAAATACTTTTTTTTACTTTTTGAGGACAAGGACTTTTTTTTACTTTTTGAGGGATGCAATTGCGGTCAGATGCATCCAGGTCTTGTGATAAATGCGGTCAGATACAGATTTAAGATAGAACTGCTTTATTCTCGATCATTTATGGATTGAGTCTCTGTCCTCTGGAGCACATGACGACAAAGAAAAATATTTGCAGTGTTATTGGAGTAATAATGTGCTCTTTATATCTACATAATAGTATGATAATACATATGTATGGTGTGCACCTCAGGGCATCAGTTGTTGGGCAGTCTTTGATGCGTAACCACAGCCCGGTGTTAAGGTGGATTATCACTTACAGTGTAATCAGTCAGGGGGGGGATTCTGCAGACTGTCGAGTGTTCAGCCTCCTGATGACTCGGTCGGTGAAACTCCGACGAAACAATTTGTCACAGCCCCTTGTTTGTTGTCCTCTTCTCTCCCTCCCTCTCTGCCCCTACGGTTTACCGGGCAAACTCGGACGAAACAGTTTTTGTCACAGCCCATTGTTTGTTGTCCTCTTCTCCCTTTTGTCCCTCTCTGCCTATATGGTTTACCGGGCAAGAAGAGGACAACAAACGAGGGGCTGTGACAAAAACTGTTTCGTTGGAGTTTCCCTGACTCGTCAGGAGGCTGAGTGGGTGAGCCGTAGGCAGAGAGGGAGAAGAGGATAACAAACGAGGAGCTGTGACAAACTGGGATGCTGGACCCGGTATCCAGCACAACTGTCACTCCCGGGTTGAGATGTCGAGGAAAAACTGTTTCGGCGGAGTTTCACCGACTCATCAGGAGGCTGAACCCTCAACAGTCTGCAGAATCACCCCCCTGACTGATTACACAGTGTAAGTGATAACCCACCTAAACTGCGGTTGTGGTAAAGCAGCAAAGACTGCCCGGCAACTGCAGTGATAGATACCCGGAGGTGGGGACCGCCAACCACTGCCCTCAAGGAAGGTACCTGTGACTAAAATCAAAGCAGACTATCACTCACCCACACCGGATGGAACACTCTATATAGACGGTCGGTTCACACCCCATCACAAGCCAGCAAAGCATCCATGAGACACAGAAAGGTCTATTGCAGCCAAAAAATACACTCCAGACATGCCGCTAGCACTAGAGGCACAGCATGACCGTGTAGTGATGGCCCCGACCACAGTCAACCAACCCGACGGAAGAAAACCATAGCAGGGTGCTGTCGGACTTGTGGTATATATTGTCAAAAATTGAACTGCCTGGTAAACCGGCGGCAGAGAGGGAGAAGAGGACAACAATCTTTTCTTTTCTTTTTTTTTTTCTTTTTTTTTTGTTTTTTTTTTGTTTTTTTTTTTTCTTGAAGAGGACAACAATCGAGGTGCTGTATATATAAATTTGCAGCTGGGTCGGAATGTTTGATAAGTTCCAAATAATGGGAACTACCCAATAATAAATAAGAAAAAAAACCAACAAGAAAGAAATTACACTCTCAAGTTTGAGGGCGGTGGAGCAGTCTGATTGATTTTTGAGAGTTTTGCAGGTTGAAGATGCTTGATTATTGTTTTCAGGTCCTCATGAAGGGACGAGACGATGGAGTCTTTCTGACAACACTCGCGCAAATTTTTCAACTTTCATATTGAGAGTTGGTGGAGGGGTTGTCCCAAATACAGTTATGATGACACCTTGCATTTGGGTGAAAACAGTAGGGAATGTTGGCCCCAAATACAGGTATCTACAGTCAAAAAATACATTAGGACTAAGTTAAGGATAGCATAATACAAAGTGAAATCTCTGCTTTTGCTTGCCTGTAAAAGTTGCCCCAAATACACAGCTATTTAAATCACTGTATGTTGCATTCGGGTGAGAAGACAGAAGGGAGTCTGAAGTTGGTCGGGCAGGTGGTAGGTGATGGAGAGCCGATGTCTGCTCCGATTTTTTAAGTGTAGGCACTGTAGGGAATCTTGGCCCTGTGCACAGGATAGAGAAGGATAGAGGGTATGAGGTTATAAACCACTAGTACACAGCCCCAGCCTTGCCGTCCGACAACTTGTCTACGCAAGAAAACGAGGCCGAAACGTCAAACGCGGGGCCTGGCGTTAAGAGATTGGATCGGTGGTAGGCTGGTAGCGATTTGGATTCCCGCTTCCAGAATTCAAGGTGTCAGGCCCGTGGCCCAGGTGGGCTCATGTACCACCAGTACCCTAAGTTTCCCATATATCGGCTGCAGGGCCCCTCACCGCGGCTTTCGGACGGGCCCGAAATGCGCCATGGGCCGTCAATGACATTTATCAATTGTGGCCTGGCCCCCAAAGTTGCCCCGAGTTAACCGCCGCCCACGTATTTGTTGTGCAAGCAGGGAAAGGCAGTGGTGGTTTCATTCGATATTGGCGTTTGACATTTGAACTTCACATAAGATGGACAAGAGATGTGTGGGAGGTTAAGAGATGGGTGGGAGGTTAGTCCTTCTCCTGTGGGGAAGTAAGCAGTGCATCGTGCCAATGTTTCAATATATTTAACTAGGGAATCTGTCGTCAGAGCTCGTCCAGTGTTTGAACCTATTGATTCATGTCTGCTTGGTAAATATGAGCCTTGGATACTGGGCCCGCTTCAAAGAAACAAACAAAAAAAAAAATTCGCATCATGCCTCGTCGAAACATACAAGACGCAGAAAGACAGTGTGCAGGCAATCAGTGAGACAGTTAAACCATGAGTATGCGGCCCATACATAGACTGGGGCCCTATGTTGCTAATGCGCCACATTTTTAGTGGGTCTTTGTGTATAGGACCGAGATGGCTAGCCAAAAGTATGCCCGAATCAGCTCGGACTGAAACGGTGCGCAGGCCGAATTGCCGCTCGGCATCGATAGTTGGGCGAAGTACACTCCTGGTTTAACAACTTCAACTATGTCAGGCGACAAACAAGGAGTCTACCATCATTTTCATTGACTTTGACAAGGCGTATAACTTTGGTATAAGTTGGCCTCTTAGGCTCTAAAGACTTTTTTTTTAGGCTCTAATACGTAATAGTTAAAAGTGAAATATTTTGCTG